TATATGATCTAAATTCACCAATTAAAAGACAGATTTACCTGTACTTGAACAATGATTAAAATAAAATTAAAAAAAAAGAAAACAAGAAAAAAAATAAAAGACAGATTTACAGAGTATATTAAAACACATTATATACTGATTACAAAAAATCATTCCAGACATAATGATGTCTAGGCAGCTTTATTTGTAATAGCTGAAAACTGGAAACAACTAGTATATCATCAGTAAGTGAATAGATAAACAAATTGCATTATTCATACCATGGCATACTAAGCATACTTAGCAATAAGGAGAAATTAACCATTTATACTTGTGTGTATCTAAATAGATCTGAAGAGTTTCTTCTTTATGGCCAAGTAGTATTCCATTGTGTAAATGTCCCATGGTTGTTTTATCCACTCATCTACTAATGGATACTTGAGCTGCTTCCATATCTTGGTGATTGTAAGTAATACTGCAGTGAACATAGGGCTACTTATGTTCTTTTGATTCAGTGTTGTACCTTTGGATATATTCCCAGAAGTGAGGTAGCTGGATCAAAAGGCAAATCCATTTTTAATTTGTTGAGGTATCTCCATACTGCTTTCCAGGGTGGTTGCATTCTCACCAACAGTGCAAAAGGGTTCCCCTTTCTTCACATCCTTGCCAGCACTTATTTGTTGATTTATTTTTTTGATGGTTTATTTTGATGATTTATTTATTTTTTTAAAGATTTTATTTATTTTTTAGAGAGGGAATGGAGGGAGGAAGAGAGAGAGAAACATCAGTCTGCAGTTGCTGGGGGTCATGGCCTGCAACCCAGGCATGTACCCTAACTGGGAATTGAACCTGCAACACTTTGGTTTGCAGCCCGTGCTCAACCAACTGTGATGATTTATTTTATTTTGATGATAGCCATTGTGACGGGTGTGAAATGATATCTCATTGTGGTTTTAATATGCATTTCTCTGATGATTAGTAACATTGAGCATCTTTTCATATGCCTATTGGCCATCTGTATGTCCTCTTTGGAGAAGTGTCTCTTTAGGTCCGTTGGCTATTGTTTAATTGGGTTGTTTGTATTTTTGGTGTTGAGTGTTGTAAGTACTTTATCAATTTTGGATATTAACCCCTTATCAGATGTATTGGCGAATATGTTCTCCCATTCTGTGGATTGTCTTTTTATTTTGTTGACAATTTCCTTTGCTGTACAAAAACTTTTTACTTTGATGTACTCCCATTTGTTTATTTTTTCTTTTGTTTCCTTTGCCTAGGGAGATATATCCAATAAAGTATTGCTATGAGCAATGTCCAAGATTTTACTGTGTGTGTTTTCTTCTAGGATTTTTATGGTTTTGAGTCCAATATTTAAGTCTTTGATCCATTTTGAATTAATTATTGTGTATGGTGTAAGAAGATGGATTAGCTTCATTTTTCTACGCATATCTGCCCAATTCTCCCAACACCGTTTATTGAATGAACTAACTTTAGCCAATTATGTTTGCTTGCTTCCTCTGTTGAATAGTAAGTGACTATAAAGGTATGGGTTTATTTCTGGGCTCTTGATTCTGTTCCATTGATCTATGTATCTGTTTTTATGCCAGTACCATGCTGTTTGATGCCAGCTGTTTGATGCTGTTTTGATTACTATGGCTTTGTAATCAAAGTTTTGATATTCGGTAGCGTGATTCTCAGGATTGTTGTTGCTGTGTGGGGCCTTTTCTGGTTTTGAATAAATTTTTGAAATATTTGTTTTAGTTCTGTAAAATACGTGATTGGAATCTTGATAGGAATTGCATTGAATCTATAGATTGCTTTGGGTAGTATGGGCATTTTAATGATGTCAGTTCTTTCTATCCATGAATGTGGAACGTGGTATGTGCTTCCACTTGTGTCTTCTTCAGTTCCTTTTTTCAGTGTCTTATAATTTTTCATGTACAGGTCTTTTACATCCTTGGGTTAGGTTTATTCCTATGTATTTTATTCTTGTTGAAGCAGTTGTGAATGGGATTGTATCTTAATATTCCTTTCTGTTCATTATTGAGTATAAAAATGCAAATGAGTTTTGGATATCAATTTTGTATCCTGCCACTTTGGTGAATTCATTTATCAGTCCTTGTAGTTTCTTGGTGAAATCTTTGGAGTTCTCTATTACAATATCTTTTCATCTGCAAAATAAAGACAGCTTTACTTCTTCCTTTCCAATTTGAATGCCTGTCATCAGACGTCTTGTCTGATTGCAGTGGCTAGGAATTTGATACTTTTTTGAATAAGAGGGGTAAAAGTACACATCCCTGCTTATTCACAATCTTAAGGGGAATGCTTGTACTTTTTGCCTGTTGAGTCTGATGCTGGCAGTGGGTTTGTCGTATATGGCCTTTATTGTGGCCTAATCCACTTTGCCGAGAATTTTACCCTTTGCAACAGCATGGATGGACCCAGACGACATTATGCTAAGTGAAATAAGCCAGTCAGAGAAAGACAAACACCATGTGATTTCACTCATATGTGAACTGTAATGAACAAACTGAACTAACAAGGAAAATTGGGACAACCTCATAGATGGAGAGCAGAATGACAGCTGGGAGGTGGAGTGGGATTATGGTAGGGGGTAGAGAATTGAGCAAACAGGAGAAAGGACTCATGGACCTGGATAGCAGTGTGCTAATTGCATGGGGAAAGAGGAATATAAGGGGACTAAATGGTAATGGAAAAAATACAATAAAGATTGAATTAAAAAATAGATCTGAAAGGCATTATACTTGGTGAAAAAGGTCAGTCTTTAAAGGACATACTTGTCATATACTCTGATTTCATTTATATAACATGACAAAATTTTACAGATGGAAAACGAGTACTGGTTGCTAGGTTTAGGTATGGTTAGAGGAAGGAGTTTGTGACTGTAAATGGGCAGCATGAGGGAGATGTTTGTTGTACTGGAGCAGTTCTTTATTGATTATATTGATTTTGGTGGTGGTTATAGGAATGTACATGGGATAAAATACCATAAAATTATACACATAAACTGGTCCAGTATTAATTTCCTGGTTTCAATATTGTACTATAGTTATGTAAAATGTAACCATTAAGGGAAACAGGGTGATGGGTAAATTGGACCTCTGTGTATACTATTTTTGCAACTTCCTATGAATGTATACTTATTTCAGACTAATTGTTTTGCAAAAAGATAAGTTATAAGTAAGAAGAGTTTGAATATTTTAATCAAATGCATTAATATATATTACGTATTTTCAGGTACAGAAAGCAAGTAGAGGTGGGAAATTATAAAAGAAAAACAGGGGCCATGTCATTTTTATGCTTCAAATTATGATTTAGAAATTATGGTTTTAACTTACCAAAGGTACTCAGAAAAGGAAAAATTTTAAGATTGTCTTGTGTGTCTCTAAAATAGTAGAATGCCTTCTATGAGTGTATTATTTTTTTAAATTTAGCTTTTGTTTTTATTAGAGTTGAAGAGGCTTTAAAGGTTTATATGGAAGAGACAGCTATTTAACCACTTTGGATTCTTGAGCTATTTTGTTTTAATATGTAAATTTCCCAATATAGAAGATTAGGATTTAGCTACCATTCACTTCCCCCATCACCAGTAGCAAAGCCTTATTTCTGTTTTCCCATTTTCCCAGTATAGTTATACTTATTTCAATTAAGTATTCTGTTTTCTTAGTAGGATGGTAAAAACACTGTATCTAGATGTGATTGCTTTTCTGCTCTTCTACAACTTTTTGTTTTCCCCAGAATTAATAATTGTCTTCTGTTGTTTGTTCACTTGCTTAGTTTTCTGTATATCTGTCATTAATAGATATACCTGTATATCCCTGAATTGCAAATATATTTCTGTTCATTTTGACTAAAAATTTTCTCATTGTGATAAGCATAGGTTAAATTTTAGAGCTTTGGTGTAAAAGACAGTTCTTAGTGTTGAGAACTCCCTGTAAAACCAGAGTGAATATAAATTGTCTTTGTTACTTTTTCTGTTTACTTACAAACCCAGTCCAGCTGCAGGTAGGCGAATAGCTATTTTTCTATTTCAGCTTGTAGCAAAGGAAATCTATAGATATTTTTAAATATCTATATTCTGATAGCAGAGGAAATCTATAGATATTTGTGAAGAGTCTTTACGTTATCAATTCCAAATACTGGTCCCATAAGGAAGTAGGGAGAGCTGTGGAACAGAGGTGAGGACATGGGTTCTACATCTGATTAGTTGCTTAATTGATGTTCACAATCTAGGATGATTAGGTAACCTCCTTTGCCTCAGTTGTCTCTTCTCTGCAATTATGACAGTATTAGACTGGATTATAAATATGACCTCTTCTAGTTCAAGTGTGATTTCAAGTAGATAAATGATTTACTTTAATCTTGACTGTATCCCCTAGTTAAGGGTGGTGTAATTTTTAGTACTTTTAAAGAAGTACTCTGATGTTTAGAGTGAAATTAGATTAAAAGGCCTAAAGTAATTTCTGAAACCTAGTAGAGATGGGAAATTATAAAAGACAAAAATGGGCCATGAATGTCAACTTTGTTGTGCTTTAAATCATGACATGGAAATTATGTCCTGGAAAAGGAAAATTCTAATGTTATCAGAAACTTCACTGTTTACTATCCAATAATATAGTCTGAAATAATGAGTGTTGCTTTTATGGCGATTTCTTTAAATTCTAGACTATTGAAGTCAGATGGGTCCTTGAAGGCTTCTGAGAGAGTTCTTGATGGTCAAGCAGTTTTTAGTTGATATAACCAAGGGCAGAGTGTACTATTCTTTATTTGTGTTTTATTTAATTGTGAATGCTTATATGAGAGGTATATGATATTTGGCATACTTAATTAGTTTTCAGAGGACATTAAAGGTGAATGCATACCTTTGGAAATAAATTTGTAAGTTCGTCTTAATGCCCCTGTTAGTACTGATAATACGCATTATTATGAAATCCTATAAAAAGCAGGTATGTAATTTAAGTTCATAGCCAACATCACTGACAACAAATTTTATTGGTTCTCAGGTACTCGAAGAAGCAGAAGCCCAACATTTATATCAGTCCATTTTGCCTGATATGGTGAAAATTGCACTCTGTCTGCCAAATATTTGCACCCAGGTTAGTGGAAATAACCTTCTTCCCTGGTAGCTTTCTTCTGACTCACAGTTAAACTCTTAATGGTCCAGGTCAAGGAAGCAGAAGAGAGAGAGGGAGGGGGAAAAGTTTTTGCCAAAAAATATGATGATTTTGCTAGAAAAGGTTAGAGGATAAAGGAATGCTAGAAAAGGACATTAAAAATACAGCATTCAATTTCTGAGCTTCAGTTTACACTGTTAAAGTTTGCTTACTCAGACTTCTTTTTCTTTTTGTTTAAACTTCTAAAAAATACAGTAGTGATTATTTCAAAAACATACTAATGGATTATCTTCCAAATGGCTTAATAATACCTACTCCTTCCTCCTCTACTCCCCAAAGTAGTATATTATATAATAAATGAACTCATGGTATTTTCTTAATTTTTAAAAATAGAAGAAAGAATCTGGTAATACTCCATTTTGTCTGGAGTTTTAAAATTGCTTATTACTGTATAACAAATTACTTCAAACTTGAGTGCCTTATGGGCCTGCCTTTACATAGGCTGGCTGAGGGTCCTCATGACCTGGTTGCTGACTTCTCCAGAATAAGGTGCTCAAGGGAGACAGCAATGAGTGCTATTGTATTTTTTTTTATCTAGTTTTTAAAGGCATCCAGCATCATCAGTGCTACTTTTTCTATTCATTAGAAATTAGTTGCTCAAATCTAACCCACACTCAAGGAGGTGGGAATTAAACTCTAATTCTTAAAAGAAGGAGGAAGTTGCATACACATTTTTAAACCGCCACAATGGTTTGTTCTTCATGATTTTCTTCCTATATTTCTCTCAACAGTGGTTTGAATTTGCCTGTGTCTTTTATTTCTAGGGCCAGCCCCCTTGGCTACATGGATGCTAGCCAGGGTCCTACTTAACATTGTTTCTCTCCACAGAGGCTCTGGGGGCATTTTGGGTGGAGTAGTTTCTGCATGTGTGGGATGGTCTCTCATACTTTGGTCTGTCATTAGGGTATCCCAGAGACCACAAACATAGTCCTCGGGACAACCAAAAACCATGTCCAGAACCCTGTGGGCCATTCTGCCACCTTTACATGAGAACCATTGAATGTTTTTCCAGTGTGCTCTACTTGTTAGCATTTCACTGTGGTATTTCTAATTTTATGTAACTTTAATTTTACCGCATTAATGCACTGTGTCTAAAATAAGTTTTTTTCATTGGGCCAGATAAATATATTTTAAAACTCACCTGGTTATTTATGTTGGAAGTTTCAGGCATACCTTGAAGATAATACACAGTTCACTCCAGACCACTGCAGTAAAGCAAATATTTCAATAAAGCAAGGCACATGAATTTTTTGGATTCCTAGTGCATATAAAAATTATGTTTACACTATACTGTAGTCTATTAAATGTGCAACAGCAACAGCAGTATGTCTAAAAACACAATGTACATACCTTAATTATAAAATACTTTATTGCTAAAAAATGTTAACCATAATCTGAGCCTATTGGAAAAATGTTACTAATAGACTTGCTGGATGCAGGGTTGCCACAAATCTTCAATTTGTAAAAAACAAGGTATCTGCAAAGTGCAATAAAACAAGTTATGCCTGTATTTGTTTGCTTATGTTTTGTGTTTATTCTTTTTTCCTTTCCCTCCTTGCTTTTTGCCTCACCTAGTAAAAGCTCTCTCTGCCTCTTAGGCTCTAACTTTCACTTCCTCTGCAAAGCCCCTACCTCTCCCAGCCAAAGCTAATCCCTCCTGTAGCACTCAAATCATATTTAGCACATTATTTGTAATTTATGTCTTTATATATCTATCTCCTTTGATTATGTTCTTCCTCAAGGGAGCTCCTCTTTGTGTCCCCAAATTTAATAGTGCTTAATTAAATGATTTTTTATTTTTAAACTTATGTTCAATATTATTTTGTATTAGTTTCAGGTGTATAGCATGGTGATTAGACAATCATATATTATACTTTACAAAGTGTTTCCCCCTAATATTTCTAGTAGACACCTGGCACCTTACATAGTTATCATAGTATTATTGACTATATTGCCTATGCTTTATTTTATATCCCCATGATTATTTTGTAATTATCAATTTGTACTTTTTATTCCCTTTACCTTTTTCATCCAGCCCCCAAGGCCCCTCCTCTCTGACAACCAGCAGTCTGTTCTCTGTATCTATGAGTCTGTTTCTATTTTATTTGTTCATTTATATTGTTCTTTAGATTCCACATAATTAAATGCTTTTGAATTCAATGTGTAGTTCATGATTGACAGTGTATTACCTTTAGACATGCATGAATCACTTAATCTTCTCTTCCCCTCATCCTTAGGAGAGAATGTTTTCATATTTTATTTAATGATATATTTACTCAAAAGCTTGTAAATTTGTAAGCTATAACAAGTCACTTGGCAGAACCAAAATTAGACTCGTGGCTCCCCAACGTTTTGTCCTGATTTAAGATAGCTTTATTCTACCATTAGTGTATTACTGGGGAGAACATTTTAAATCTGTGCTGTCTACTGAAAGGTAAATTCTGCTGCAGAGGTAACATTTTAATTTGGTATCAAAATATATTTTGACAAGTTAAATTACATATATTGTTATTTAATTATCACATTAACATTCTCTAGACCAAATCTGAATGGTGAATATTCTATTTATAAAAAGAAGATTAGCTTGGATGGAGCTGGAAAGCATTATGCTAAACGAAACAAGCCAGGCAATGAAAGAAATACCATATGATCTCACCTTTAACAGGAACCTAAACAACAAAACAAAGAAACAAGCAAAATATAACCAAAGACACTGAAATAGAGAACAGGCTGACAGTGACCACAGGGGAGAGAAGAGGGAATTTCAGGGGACAATGGGAAGGGTTTACGGGAACAAATTTAAAGGACACATGGACAAAAACTAGGGGGAGGGTGGTAATGGGAGGGAAGTGGGGAGGGTTGGGAGGGTGGGCTGGATTGGGAGTAAAAGGGAGAAAACTGTACTTGAACAATGATTAAAATAAAATTTAAAAAAAAAGAAGATTAAAAGAAACAAATTTTGGACATGTACTTTCGGAAAGGTCTTTTTTTATATTAATTAGCTTATTTTTTTTAGCTGAGTGCTTGATGGTAAGATTTCCATCCTCAGATTTTTCCCAAATGAGCTTTCAGGCATTTCTTCCTCACCAAGAGAACAGAAATCATTTATTCTATTTAAAATTACCCTATTTGGTTATTAGGGAGACAAGAAAAGTTTGTGTTTAAAGTGTCTTAAGCTTAAAATATGACCATTAATTTTTAATATCATACTGTGGGTAACTTAGTATATTGTAGTTAAAATCTCATTTCTTACTAAAACCAAGTACAAGTTTGCTTTAAGCCATTGACACATTGTTACCTTTTCTAAACTTATTGCTGGATTGTAAATAAATGTATAAAGTGGGAAATGGAGAGCAATGTGACAAACTTCCTCTTTCTTTGAAATACTGATTTCTAAGGCCTAAAATGAGAGAATTTGAATACCAAAGTGAACATAAATTCTTTATGCTTCCCTTGTCTGTTTATCTTTGTATTTTTCCAAGAGAAATAGTTGAACTGCAAGTTTAACCATCTCTTTTTCTAGCCAACTCTTATTCTAACAATTATGTGTATTTTTTGTTACTTGGAGAAAAGTTCATTCTTATAGTATTGCAGTTTTGATTTCTCTTGCCTGCCTTTCCTCAGTGTCATTTCTGGTGTTGGTTCCTGAGATATGATCAGAACAGTTCTTTAGTGGTTTGTGATTAATCTAGGTATCCAGGATACTTAATTTTGGCTCTTATTGAAAGAGAAAAGGAAAAGCATCCTCTAAACATTTTGAATTTAACAACTGATGTGTAAAAGAGATGTTGGCAGTTGGTCTTTGGTTTTACCATTGTGTCTTTAAACATATTTAAACATTTAGAATAGAATAAAACCCACTGGATACAATAATCAGGTCCTGTGGATTATACTGAAACTAAAAGGTCAATAAGTTTGGGTTTGGTACAACTAGAAGGAATTTCAGACATCAAATTTTTGAAGATAAAATGCCCTGCTTCTTCCTTGAATTGGAATGCTTAGGTAGGAAATGCTTGCTTTAAAATTTATACGTAAGTCTGCATATATATGTGTGTGTGTGTGTGTATTCTATTAATTGCTGTCATAAAATTAGATTGAGTTTCATAGAAAAATTGTCAATGTGAAGTGTGATTCAGAATTAGAAGGAAAAGACTTATTGAGTTATTTTCCTTAGACTATTTTATTTAGGACTAAAAGAAAAATTATTCTAACAATCTTTAATATAAGTGAGAACAAAATTTTTATATGCGATAATAGTTAAATTTAACATTGTATTATTCTCATTCACCCTTTGCTTTAAGTTTTATTACATGGGTAATGTGTTTTTATTTCTTACTTGCTAAAGCAATCTGGTTTTTCACTAGTAAGTAATGTTTTGTGTTCTCTTCACTATCATTATTATTGATAAGAAATCTGCAGTTAATCAAAGCAGTACATTTTTCTAACAGTATTGCTGATTTAAGAGTTCAAGAGAAGCCTGATGTTATTTTTACTTTAATTTAATAAATGTCATTTGGTGCCTCTGCTTTTGAAATTGCTGAACTAATTATTGCATTCCTTGTCTGTATTTTTTTCTTTCTTCTGTCAGCCAATACCACTCCTGAAGCAGAAAATGAATCATTCCATCACAATGTCACAGGAGCAGATTGCCAGTCTTTTAGCTAATGCCTTCTTCTGCACATTTCCACGTCGAAATGCTAAGATGAAATCTGAATATTCTAGTTACCCAGACATTAACTTCAATCGGTATGTTTTCTGAAAACATCTCTTTAACAATGAAATGGAAAAGGAAGGAAAGAACTAATAATATTTATAGAGTAATTTGCCATAGGCTAAACATTTTATGTGTACTCACCTAATTTATTTTTTATAATACAGTTAGTTGAATAGTATTCTTGCCATTTTGCAGGCAAGATAAGTTTATAGAACTTGATTAGGATATAGGAGCCAGTAAAATGCAGAGCTGAGGTTTAATCTCAGGTCTGTCTTACTCCATGGTCCGTATTCTTTCTACCCTGTCAGAATGTCTTCCCGTCTTGAGTTTCCTGAATTCTTTATTCCTCTTCAGTGTGATTATTCACAAGAACATTTATTGTACATTATATTCTTTGTACGCTGAAAAAATGTTAGAGCTGAAGTGCAGGTCCTCCTCTTTATGAAGTCTGAGTTTAAAATCATGAGTCTGACTATCTTAGGAGACTTGAAAAACATTTCTGTTAAGATGAAAAGCAAAAATGAAAGTTGACTTTGACTTTTTATAGACATGACTAATTTGTCAATGTATTATTTTTAAATGGAAGACAAAAATATTTATATTATTTGCATACAATATTACGCTGTGAAGGTGTTGATAAAGTTTTAAATTCCAACCATTTTCCAAAGTGATTACTCTCTCCATCATCTACATAAACAATGTGAAATCTTCTTTGCAAATGAATATTACATTTTTTTTCTTTCTCCCACTCCTTACTCCCAATGACACAACCCTCCTTCCTGGGAAAATCTCTATTTTTTTCCTTTTTACCTGAGAATTATCTTTTGGCATCTGTAGATAGAATGTAAGTTTTCTTCCCTCATATCAGGGGCTGCCTTCAGGAAATTGTTACAATATATGCTCCTCTTTCCCAGTATGCTGTGTCTTCCTCCACTACCTCCCTCCAATCCCCATCTCTTGCCTCTGAGGGTGAGGCTGTGTGGGCAAGTTCAGAGGAGGAGATACCATTGAGGAGCACATTCACGCTTTTGTGTGCTGTTCTGTTTTTGTCTTCAAAGTTGAATGGTGCATTAATGCCATTTATTTTAGTTTACCTTTTTAATGGTCTTAAAAACGTTTTTTTTCAATTCATTTTAGATATGTAAAAAGTTGCAAAGGTAGTACTCAGAATTCCTGTACACAACTAACCCTGCTTCACCTAATGTTAATATTACTATGTTAACCATAGTAAAATTATCAGAACCAGGTAGAACCAGTATTATTATAATATTATTAACTACAGACCTTATTTGAATTACAGCAGCTTTTCTAATATATTTTTCTGTTCCAGGACCCTCCCAGTTTGCACATTGTATTTAGTTTTCTTTTCTCCTTCACTCTGTTTCTTAGTTTTTCTTTTTCTTTTATGACTTTGACACTTTTGAAGACTACTATTCAGTTATTTTGTAGAATGCCCCTCTGTTTAGGTTTGGCTGACATTTTTGTACAAATGGAGTAAAGATAATACATTTTGGCAGAAATACCACAGAACTGATGTTGTGTCCTTCTCAGTGCATTCTCAGTGGGTTCATGATGTTGACGTATCCTACTACTGGTGATCATCTGGCTAAGGTGGTGTCTGCTTGGTTTTCCACTTTATGGTTACTGACTTTTCCTTTTGGGTTAATAAATATCTTGGAGGAGATATGTTGGTACTATGCAAACATTTTGCCTCACATTTCCCCCACTAATTTTAGCACCCACTGGTGGATCTTGTCTGCAACAGTTATTACTGTAGTGTTTGCCTATTGTGATTTTTAATTCCATCTTCCTGCATTTATTAATTGGAATTATAAGGAAGACCTATCCCTTCCCCTTCTCTCCTATATATTTGTGTGTGTGTGTGAAATGTGATAAAAAGCTTATTTTTAAACATATATTTTATTGATTATGCTATTACAGTTGTCCTATTCCCCCCGCTTTATTCCCTGCTGCCCCGCATACCCCCTCCCACCTGCATTCCCTCCCTTTAGTTCATGTCCATGGGTCATATATATAAGTTCTTTGGCTTCTATATTTCCCATACTATTCTCAACCTCCCTCTGTCTATCTTCTACCTACCATTTATCCTACTTATTCTCTGTACCTTTTACCCCTCTTACCCCACCCACTCCCCCACTGATAACCCTCCATGTGATCTCCATTTCTGTGATTTTGTTCCTGTTCTAGTTGTTTGCTTAGTTTGTTTTTGTTTTAGGTTCAGTTGTTAATAACTGTGAGTTTGTTGTCATTTTACAGTTCATATTTTTTATCTTCTTTTCCTTATATAAGTCCCTTTAACATTTCATATAATAAGGGCTGGGTGATGATGAACTCCTTTAACCTGACCTTATCTGGGTAGCACTTTATCTGCCTTTCCATTCTGAATGATAGCTTTGCTGGATAGAGTAATCTTGGATGTAGGTCCTTGCCTTTCATGACTTGGAATACTTCTTTCCAGCCCCTTCTTGCCTGCAAGGTCTCTTTTGAGAAATCAACTGATAGTCTAATGGGAACTCTTTTGTAGGTAACTGTCTCCTTTTTCTTGCTGTTTTTAAGATTCTCTCCTCTTTCATCTTGGGTGATGTAATTATGATATGTCTTGGTGTGTTCCTCCTTGTGTCCAACTTCTTTGGGACTCTTTGAGCTTTCTGGACTTCCTGGAAGTTGCCTGGAAGTTGATTTCCTTTGCCAGATTAGGGAAGCTCTCCTTCATTGTGTTTTCAAATAAGTTTTCAATTTCTTGGTCTTCCTCTTCTCCTGGCACCCCTATGATTTGGATGTTGGAATGTTTAAAGATGTCCTGGAGGTTTCTAAGCCTATCCTCATTTTTTTGAATTCTTGTTTCTTCATTCTGTTCTGGTTAAATGTATGTTTCTTCCTTCTGGTCTACACCATTGATTTGAGTCCCAGTTTCCTTCCCGTCACTGTTGGTCCCCTGTACATATTCCTCTTTTTCACTTAGCATAACCTTCATTTTTTCATCTAATTTGCGACCACATTCAGCCAATTCTGTGAGCCTCTTGATTACCAATGTTTTGAACTGTGCATCTGATAGGTTGGCTATCTCCTCATCGCTTAGTTGTATTTTTTTCCTGGAGCTTTTATCTGTTCTTTCATTTGGGCCTTTTTTTTTTTTTTTTTTTTTTTTTGGTCTCAGGATGCCTGTTATGTAGTAAGGGGCAGAGCCGTAGGTGTTCACCAGGGCAAGGCAACCCATGTTGCTGCATTGTGACACTAAATGTAGGGGAGGGGTTCAAGAGGGAACAATGCTGCTTGTTCCACCCTCTGCTGGTTTTCAGTTACTTCCCCACTACCCACAACCAAATTGGGCCCTTCTGGTGCTGATTCCCTGGTGGTTGGGCTTGTGTAAGTTCTAGGACCCTGTGGGTTTCTCCAGTGAACTCTCCTGTGAGGCTGGGAGTTTCTCCCGCTGCCGCCTCAACCCCCACAGGTATTTTCATCATAGGTTTGAGGCTTTGTTTCCCCGCACTGGAACTCTGGATTGCGTGGTCAGTCTCTTTCCCCAGTTGTTCCTCCTGGTTTATCTGCATGTGAACGAGGGACCACTCAGTCTGTAATCCACTGCCTGGCAGGGTCCACCAGCTGCTGCTTGTCCGCCCTGGTCTGCCAGCTGCCACCTAGGTGCAAGTCTTCTCTGCCCAGCTGCCTGTCTCTGCCCCTCCTACCAGTCCGGATGCATGTTTCTTTAACTCCTTTGTTGTAGGACTTCCATACAGTTCGATTTCCTGTCAGTTCTGGTTGTTTTTTGTTTTTAAATTTGTTGTTGTCCTTGTTTTGGTTGCGTGAGGAGGCACAGTGTGTCTACTTATGCCTCCATCTTGGCCGGAAGTCTCTCCTATATTTTTTAATATTAATATCAGAATGGACTTAAGGATATTTATGAGTTAGAATTTAGCATTGTCACTTATTTTACTCCTCAAATTATTTTAGCTTTGGCTATTAGGGCTCGTTCATGTTGACCTCTGTGTTCTTTCACCAAGCCCCAATCTTTATTTTGAGCATTTCTTACTTTCTGGCATCACAGGATGTTCCAGGCTCATCTTATATTTTCCGTGGCTGTACTCTGGAATCAATCATTTTTCCAAGAATTCCTGGTTTCTTTTATTGGAGAATGGTATGGCATTTAGAACTAAGGCCTGGGCAATAAGTGTGTTTGTGCTACTCGAATATCATTGTTTCTAATATCACTTTTATGTGGGCAGAATTTCTGACAACTCCACAAGGCAATGTTCACTAAAATGGATTCACAGTGACATGGAATGTTAGCCCCAAAGGCATTGCTTTTACCTTCTTGAAATTTAGAAAGTGTCTCTCTCTCTTAAGATGTTAAAAATTCTAGGATTAGAGCCCTGGCTGGCGTAGCTCAGTGGATTGAGCACGGGCTGCGAACCAAAGTGTCGCAGGTTCGATTCCCAGTCAGGGTACATGCCTGGGTTACAGGCCATGACCCCCAGCAACTGCACATTGATGTTTCTCTCTCTCTCTCTCTCTCTCTCTCTCTCTCTCTCTCTCTCTCTCTCTCCCCTCCCTTCCCTCTCTAAAAATAAATCTTAAAAAAAAAAATTCTAGGATTAGGATTCAGCTGGTTAGTACTTAATATAAATTTTTATTAAAACTAAGCCACAGACAGTTTAGTGCAACTTATTACATTTTGTTTTATTTATGTGTTTGGCAAATGAAAGTATAGGAGATAATTTAATTGTAAGAATACTTTTAAACTAATAATTCTTGGACTATATTTTTAAGGCTATCAGACATTAAAATATAAATGAAAATGTCTGTTGTTACATACAGTTACTCTCCATTATCAACACCAAGGAGGAATGGGGCAACAATGAAAAATAATGTCAGCTGTGTAAGAATATTTTTAAAATTTCAACAAGATGGTATCCATTTTATGTCATATCTTCTTTGGTTGTGTAAGTCCAGTTGTCAGGGGCATGTTTTTAACCTTTTTTCCCAAATTGGTACATTAGCTAAGTTTGTTTTA